TTAAAATTAATCAAGATTCAGAAATTTTTATACAAAAAAATTTATATACATTTGGCTTTGTAAATAAATTAATATCATTACATACTGCACAGGACCAACGATCAATGGAGACTGGGAAGAAGAAGAAAAAGGAGTACCTGGAGAAGGAAGAAGGCAGCGATCAACACCCACAGTCGGAGACAAGCAATCACCCACAGCGAGCAATCACCCACAGCAATCACCCACAGCGAGCAATCACCCACAAGCAATCACCCACAGACCGGCAATCACCCACAGACCGGCAATCACCCACCGACAGTTGGAGACCACCCACAATCGATCACCACCCAGACTCGAAGACCACCCACAGTCGAAGACCACCCACCCAGTCGGAGACCAGTCGAACACAGTCGAAGACCACCCACCCAGTCGGAGACCAGTCGAACACAGTCGAAGACCACCCACAGTCGAAGACCACCCACCCAGTCGGAGACCAGTCGAAGACCACCCACAGTCGAAGACCACCCACCCAGTCGGAGACCAGTCGAACACAGTCGAAGACCAGTCGGAGACCAGTCGAAGACCACCCACAGCGATCACCACCTACAAGTCGAAGACTTCCCACAGTCGATCATCACCCACCCACACACGTCGGTCGACGGCTGAAGAGAAACGACAGTCATCGGTCGATGGCTGAGAGAAACCAGACGTCGATGGCTGAAATGTGTGATATATGTGAGAAATGTGTGAATTTTTTTTTTGTAACCCTAACCACTGAAACGACGTCGTTTCAGTGGTTATAGGGAAACAAAAAAAAAAATCAACACACTTCAAACGACGTCGTTTTAAAAAAAAAAAAAAAAAAAAATTTGCACGTATCGTGCGTTTCGTACCGATACGTATCGTATCGTAAAAACGTATCGTGTATCGGACGATACAACGCAAAAACGATACATAACACCGATACGTATCGTTTTAGGGCTGTATCGTAACGTATCGTACGATACGTATCGTGTATCGTACGATACTAACAACTTTGATTATGTGCTGGACAAGGTTTTCAAGAGCCTTCTTAATGGTTGTTCATATCACTACTATACGGCTCATCACATATCATCGTGCTTGTATACATGAAATGTCTAGTCTTTGAAACTCTACTTTTGACAAATTTTGCTAAAATGACATAAAAAAAAAGTGTCATTTTAATGAGAAGAAATATTACATCAAATTTTGGTTCATTAGAATTGCTAAATAGACAAAACTAAAGAAGAGGAAGACAAAAGAAATCCATTGCTACTCATTGTATGCAATAATATGAAATAGGGAACAAGAGACCATTTATGTAAACACTACAATTAAGAAAGAGACTAGTCTACCCCTAATAGCAAACACATATAAATACGATCTTAATACCCTCCCTCAAATTCATGAAGTGACGTAGGAAGTATCGAGAGGTTGTCAAGAATGACACAAATGCTGTGCAGTGTGAGACTTCGTAAATAAGTCAGCTCATTGCATAGCTGAAGAAGAAAAAGGTAAGGAAAGAGTCCCAAGTTGAAGATGGTGCCGTACAAAATGACAGTTAATCCCAATATGGTTGGTTTGCTCATGGAAAACATAGTCATGTGCAGTTTGAATGACACTCTTGTTGTCATAATAAATTGGAGTAGGAACAAAAAATGAAACGCCTAGATTGGCAAGCGACCATATCAACTAAATTATATTTGATGCAACATTAACCATAACACGATATTTGGCCTCAACAATGGAATGTGCGTCAACGGTCCGCTTCTTAGTTCTTGCTCTTATAGCAAATCATAGAAACCTATGGTGGACTTCGATCTTTTGCATCACGTGTCCAATCTGCATCAAAGAAAGCACTAAGATCTAAGGAAGAGGTGGAAAAAAACAACAAACTTTGATGTAAAGTGCCTCAAATATTGCCAAAATGTGCAGACTTGCAGCCTAGCGCACTGTAGTCAGAGAAGAGACAAACTGATTCACAACTTGAACAACATATGCAATATTAGGCCGTGTAATCGAAAGATAGACCAGATTACCTGCAAGAATTGGATGCAAAGTAGGATGAGCCAAGGGGATACCACATTAAGCTCAAGAGGAGTCTCAACAGTCGGAGAATGTGTTAATCGAGCCCTATAAATAACATACTTTAATTAAGAAATGAGAGAAACCTTAAAAATATCGAAGGCGATCAAGATCCTTTATCTCAAATTGTTGCTGCAACTACCCCTTCAAGACTACAATGCCATCAAATCATCCCCAATAATACCCATATCATCAACATATAAAAAGAGAACAATCTTGTTGTAATGGTGACAGATTATGAACCTTGGATGTACTTATTATGGTTGAAATAAACGTTTGTGGACTATTGTTGGCATTTACATGACAAACCATCTAGGGTTTGCCAGCCTAGGATATTTATAAGGATGATGTTACTCATTTGCTAGCACTGTTATTTGGTTGGGTCAACCTTCGAGCTCAAACTTGATTGCTAGTACTTTTATCTAGTCAGTTAGTGTTGTCTTCCACATAGGGCTCTTTGAAAATTTATTATAAGTGTATATAACAACACTATGCTATTGTTTAAAAAATATATTTCTTGATCATGTCATGCAAAGAATAAGGATACGGTACCTCAATTTTTTTTAAGTGTATCAAATTGAAATTGATTAGTAGTTGTAAACTTAATTTAATACAATCTAAAAACTTTATAAGGGTCACTTTTTATTGAACAAAAAAATAAAAGCATGGTAGCAAAAAATTACTTTTTTGTACCATATTTGGACTCAAAGCTCAATACCTTTTTTAAAATTCACTATGCACTGATACATAGAAAAAAAATTTGTCACTATAGGGTACTCCAAAATTAAGCATTAATTAAGATAAGTTTACGGTACCCAAAAAATTTCGACATCATTGGAAAGTTGATGTGGTGCATACATTTTGACTTGATTAATTTTAACCATTGATTGTAAAACTAACAAATTAATCTATGGTAATAAAATAAAAATTTTACACAACAATTTTGTTAGTTAAAAAAGATTTAATACTAAAAATTATTATTTGGTACCATAATCAAATGCGACGAATTATGGGGGAGAGTGGAGATGGCAGGCCAGATTGTGGGGTTTATTTTAGTTAGTAACTTGTAGGTGTCCTCTTTTTTATATGTAGAAACTTAAAATCCGGGTCAAATTTTTGAGGGGGAGAGAGAGAGAGAGAGGTCTTAGGGTTTATTTAAGAATTAGATGTGTAGGTATGAATATTTTATGTTCTTTGACATTTCTAGAGTTAGTTGACAGTAATGAAGAGAGAACTAATTTTTTATGTGATTGATGTGACGTGGGCAGATGAAAAAGAATAAAGAGTGATGATTTAGGTCCGTCAAAGATTTGTCTTTATTTGGGCCTTTTTGTTACAAATGTTTTTGGGCCTAATTTGGTAAATACTATAAGGATCATTATATAATTTGTGGCCCCTCTTTTTTGAGGCTCCAAAACATAGGTTTTTCTTGCTTGTTGGGCCGATTTTGCCCCCTCAACCACTCTACTCTCTTTTCTTTCTTTCTTCTCCCATTGTTTTGTATTGTGAGACACTCTTCTTCTGGCTCTCTCTTGTTGTCGCATTTGAGATTTTTCCCACAACCGCCACCATTCCCCAATCCAATCACTTGGGCCCTATTTCGACTCAACACCCACCTAACCCTAAGAGCTGGAATCCCAAACAAATGTTTAATTTATGTGGTATACTAAATTTGTTCGTTATGTCGAGATTTAGAGTTTTGTTATGTTAGGGGTTTCTATTTGGATTGGAATTAGGGGTATCAACATATGATACGACTCGATAACGCGACACAAATGTGACATGAAATTAAAGGATTTGAGTCTTCTTTAAGCTACTTATTTCGTAAATGAGTGGATCCAACATGACACAATTAATAAACAAATCGGGTATAGATGAAGCCAATCAAAAGAAATACACGACACGAACCTGATATGACACAACTCGTTAGACACAAATTAATAAACGAATCGGGTATGAGTGGAGTGCTTTTTGATACGATCCTGTCAAGATCCTACACGAACCCGTTTCATCTGAAACGATTGACATGCCTAACTGGAATATATGATTTTATGTGAAATTTTTGATTCGAGATTGAGATATCAGATTTGGGGGTTGTGGATTTTGGATTTATACTAAGAGCTTGGTTTTGGCTCGAGCTCGGCTCGAACTTGGCTAGTGCTGAGCTTGAGCATCCCTTCAATAACTTGAGCCAATCTTGAGCATACCCAAGCTCGAAAGGCTTGGCTCAATCAATACTCGTACTCAAATTTGATTTAGTAGAAAAGAAAGAGATAAAAAAGAACAGGTTTTGTGATTTTGCCATCATATGTTTTTGTATATGAAAGGAAGTATGTTGTTGTAACGATGAACAAATGGTTTTGTCACTCCCTTTCCTTTTGCAGATGGCGTGGAAAGATAACCTTAGGTCCACGGGGTAGACTCCTAACATATAACGGATGTCTATCTTCCCTCTCTATTTCTTCATCCTTCCCTTCTATCAAATAGACTATCTGTGGAACCTGTTGTCTGAGAGTTTAACGGATGTCTATCTTCCCCTCTCTATTTCTTCATCCTTCCCTTCTATCAAATAGACTATCTGTGGAACCTGTTGTCTGAGAGTTTGTGATTTCAGTGTTTACGAAATAGCTTCATGCACAGCTCACAGGTTTTATACTTGAGGCTAATGATAAATATTTCTAGTTGGTCTTGTCAAAAATGGTACGTTGTATATACACTTCATTATGTCTAATGGTAGAAAACTAAAAAATGGAAACGTAAATCATTAATGCTGTGTGCATGAGTTGGTTGTAAGCCTATGGGACTACATGTGATCGACACTGCTATAGGTGCAGATTTCATGTGCACAATTGAGTCATTTCAAGTATGATTCTGAAGCATGGAAATGACTGGTTCAACATTTGGACACAGGAAAATTAAGAATTTGGCCTCCCAAACTCAAATGTAAAGAATGAATAGCTGATGGCGTTTAATTTAACAGCATAATGGGGAAACTGATTCTGTAGGCATACTGTAATGTGTTTGACAGCAATCTGCCAGAAAGCTTTCATAAAAGGGGTTTTAGACCTGCTTGGCCATGTTTTGTCGGCATCCTTTTGGATTCTTGACTTATATGGGCAGCTCTTAAGGTTGACTTCGTATGCTGAGACATTATATAATATTGATTTTGGTTGTTCCCCAGGTGGCCATACTTTTACCATCATGTGGTGGAATTTAAGGAAACAAGAACGCTGATGTACCATGGCCTTTATAGCCTAACGATTTGTGGTCCCCGTCCTAAATAAAACCCGAGGTTGAAGCCTTACCCACAAATATGTTCTCAGTATCGACAAGAAAAACTAAAGACGACACTGATGTGTTGGTGTCTGGCACATATATTTCTCACAGATCAGGTTCAGATTCTGTTGTTGTTTCCAAAGAATTTTTCCTGACTTGTGGTGAGTCCTGAAAATTTTGTAGGCAGTTTTTTATAATAGGGATTCTGCCACCTGTAGCGTTTTAAGTGTAGAGAGAATAATTAGGAGTTGGTGCTTAAGATGTTGAGTACATTAACCCCTCTTGTGAGAATCTGTGCATTGATGCTAAAAGTTGGAAGCTTGATAATCAATGATTTCTTGCCCTGATGGTTTAATATTGTTTCACAGGTCGAGTCGAAGTTGAGAGAGACCACATACAGGCTTGAACAGCAACTGGCAGAAGAGCAAGCTGCTCGATTGAAGGCTGAAGAGTTTGCTCAAGAAGCTCAAAGGAAGTCAAATGATGAAATTCGTAAGCTGAGAGAGAACCTAGAGAGAGCTCAGAGAGAGACCGAGGAGATTCGAAAGCGAGCCGAAAGTGGTAGGTGTGCTATTTTATGATGGAATCAAAGACATCATGATATACTTCTAGAGAAGTGCACATTAATTTTAAGGTCTCTCTCTCTGCACTACAATTTGTAACTCTTAACTGATTGTTGTGACTACATTATACACTATGCATATGTTCATGAAATTGTTTAGATACACTATGTTTTATATTAAGATATACTCCATTCCATGGAATTGTTTAGACAAATAGTCAACATGAGTGCATTGCAATAGATACATTACGTTTTTTTATTAAAATCCACTTCACTCCATTGTCCAATAGAGATGACTTATTCCCTTGTACCTTTCTGATCAATTCCCTCGATCTCTGTGCTATTCGTGTTGCTACGGAAAGGCCTCTTTGTGATTGGGGAAGGGTGACCACGAACCATTTCACTCTCTGTCCAGTCAAACACTTACACGCAGGATTCACTCAGTAAACACTATCCAATCAAACTCTCCTCGCCGATTCACTCAGGAAACAAAACCCTTGGAACCCTGCAATACATGCTTTGGGAAGGGCCAAGGAATATACAACTGTATCTACTATGTGGTTCTGGTCGGAGTTGGATGGTTCTATTAAGAACACAAGGTTTTTCTCGGAGTTTTTACTTGAGAGACTCGAAAAACTAAGTTGTGGTTGCTTAGGTCTTTCTTTGGAACTTTTATGTTGTATAATGTGCGCTCAGCTTCCAGGCCTCTTCACACAGGTTGGATAAATGGCTATATAGCTTTCAATACGACCCTAATTTGTTAAACGAGTTGGATGGATTTTGCATAGTTCTTTCGAATATGATTCAAAATACCATGCCAACGTTTAAATGTGCTTTGGACGTCCATCGAATAGTGTTGGAATTCAAAATTGAAAGCAATCGAAGCATGGGCGTTCTAGCTTTATTTTATCACTGGAAATTAACACAAACACAAACACGAGATTATTCAATGGTGTTTGCATGAAATTGAAAAGGTTGACATCAGTCCATGCAAATGGGTTCGAAACCTTATGTGTATTTGGTGTCAAATAGTGTTACCGCACTATCCACTTACATAGTAGCACTTTTGTTCTAGGGATCACATTTTCTCCTCAAATTTCTAAAATCCCTCACATTAATCACAATTAGGATGAAATAGGGTCAAAAACATTGACCAGGGGCCAATTTTCACACATTTCGACCCCAAATCCTTAAAACTGCAATTATGGCATTCCATACATTTTGTATTGAATATCATATTCATTTGCATTCAAAATTCACATTATTACATCAAGAATTATTTAAAAATACTGCATGCAAAATTTCAGGTCAATTGGATTAAAATTTGCACATGTGATAATAACATTTAGAAATTAGGGTTTCGGCGTTACCGACACCCTTTCCCAACCTCTATCGCTCTTTTATTTTAAAACCGCTACACTTAAATTCACATACAAATTTAATCAATGAAAAATAGCCCATAATTGAGCCTTTAAACCACCCATTTCATTCCCATTATTTTTGTTTTCAACCTAACCCACTAAATGCTTCCCGAATATCTCAAATGGTCATTTTCACACTTTTCGTACACTCTGTTGAGTACCCATTTAATACCCATTCTTAACAGCCCCTAAATTTTGTTGAACACCCTTAATAAAATCTATTTTGAACTTAAAATAAAATAGCCCATTATTTTAACACAAAACAACCCACCAAATTAAACTAAAACAACCCATTAAAATTAACCAAAACAGTCCATGAATTAAATTAAAATAGCCATTAATTTAAAACATGTTAAACAAGTCCACATATATACTAAAATTAATCGCAACACATGCTTAAATTGTGTCCCACATAGCTTCCTTGCTCACAGTTCAAATGGACACACACACGTATTTTTTTCTTGGTGTCTTCTTCTCTCTTTCTTTTTTTTTTTTGTTCCTTTTTCTCTCTTGCTCTCCTCACTCTCAACTTCAGTAGTCAACCAGACACACACATACTAAATTATATATTAAACACAGACACACACACACACCCCTTTATACTTACTTTACACCCTCACACCCACACATGGCTTGTATACACACACACACACACAACATGCATACACACACCCACCTAACCGTAAGATGACTCGCCTTTTCTTTCTTTTCTTTCTTTCTTTTTTAAATTATGTTGGCCTCCCCCCAAGTTTTTAAGTGATTTTGAAATCAACCCACTAGTATTTTCACATATGAAATTCTATAAATAGGTCTCACTAATATATCACTAACGGGGTTCACATACCCAATGCATACTCACATACATCATGCCTATGAAAGATTAATTTAATTAACCCTTTAATAATTATACATAATTGTAATTTAGCCCACAAATTTATGCTAATATGCATGCAATACCTGATCGGGTCTCACAAATATAGTCATAAGATTCGGGATCCCCCGTTCACTTGTATCAAACAATGGGACTCAATTTAACAGCGAACCCTTCAAATCCTTTTGTGAGCATCTCGGAATCCAAAATTACTACTCTACGCCTTCGTACCTACAAGCCAACAGACAAGCAGAATCTTTAAACAAAACTATTTTCATTAGAATCAAGAAGAGGTTGGAGAAAGCTAAGAGAAAATGGGTGGATGAGCTCCTAAATATCCTATGGGCTTACAGGACAACTTTGCATACCTCAACGGGCGAAACATCTAATACCCTCGCATATGAAATATAGGCAATTATCCTGTTGAAGGTAGGCTTCCTTACTATAAGAACACAAGCTTTTGACACTAGAGAGAACAATCAGCAACTCAGCGTGGACTTGGACCTCACAGAGGAAAGAAGGGAAATGGCTTCTTTAAGGCTGGCTAAGTACCAAAAAGGGGTCTCCAAACGCTACAGTAAAAGAGTAAAACCCCGAAGATTTCAAGTAGGTGACCTGGTGCTCAAAAGAGTAGCCAAAAACACTAGTGACCCGTCGATGAAAAAATGGGACCTAATTGGGAAGGACCATACAAAGTTATGTCAGTGAGAGGCTTTGAATTGTACAAATTAAAGGATATGGAAGGAAATGCTATACTTCGGCCTTGTAATGTAATGAATTTAAAAAAGAACTATTTTTGAGAAACAAAGGCTTATTTTTGTTAAGTGTGCTGTCTTGGAAGGGGCATGGCCTCAAAGGCATAGTCTTAAGACTCTTGCAGCTAAAGAAATAAAGGAGCAAAGCCTCTTGGAGGGGGCACGACCCTGGAGGCAGAGTCTTAAGACTCTTGCCCCTAAAGAAATAAAGGAGCAGAGCCTCCTAGAGGGCCTTCTAGGAGACATGGCCTTGGAGGCAAAGTATAAAAAATTTTGCCCCCAAAGAGACAAAAGGAACGAAACCTCTTGGATGGGGCACGGTCCCGAGGGTGAGGCGAGGCTTTAGAAAAAGACTCATCCCAAAAAGACCCAGGGAGCCAGGTCTCCTGGATGGGGTATAGTCCCAAGGGTGAGGCGTTAGAAAAAGACTTACTCCAAAAAGACCCAAGGAGCGAAGTCTCCTGGATGGGGCATAGCCCCTAAGGGAGAACACTTAGAAATTTCTCCATAAAAGAAGTTGAGGTTGAGGGAGACCATTACCCCCGAGGAGAAGGAACATCTTGGCCTCGAGGCTTGGAACCTCAGTCCTGAGGAATTACACTTCAAAAAAAAAAAGACAAAGAATAAGAGAAGATGTAAACGCTTGGAAAAGAAAGGCACTCTTGTATTACAAAAGAGGTGGGCTTTGCATCCCTCAAGCTACAAAGGTGAAAGAAAAACTAAGTTACAAGAAAAGGGGGGGGGGGAGTTGCTCCATGGGGGCCTGGTAACCTCCCACTGATGTTCGATGTCGCCAAAAAGCTCATCAATACTAGTAGAGAAAGAATCGGCACTACGAGAAGGAAGTGCTGCATCGGTATGGACAGTAGAAGTATAGCCCTGAGGGGCAGGCTCAACATCGATAGGCGCAGGAGCTGGAGCAGTGGCAGCCTCCAACAATAGGGCTGTGTCACTCCAAGGGGCAAGAGTTGGATCCATGTTCTCAGTTGGCAGAGTCTGATTTGGAACTTGAAGTGTTTTGCAACCTCGGCGGTGGCTTGCGCTATCTCCTCAGAAGGAATGTACTCATGCTCCTTTTCTGACTTCTTGTTGGCCTCCAGCTCGGCCCTTAAATTGTCTAACTCTTGGGTGAGGGAAGCACAAGTTTACTCTGACTCAAATACCCTCACCTCAGCCAGAGATACTTGCTTCGCCGCTTTGGTGATCTTCTTCTCGGCGTCGGCGAGTGAAGCCTTGACCTTGTCATGATCCCCCTTGGTAGTTTGGCTCTCTTTGAAGAGCTTGGCAATTTGGTCCCCCTGAGTGGATAGGGTCTTGTCCCAAGTAGCCACCTCATCCTTAGCCATGGAAAGGGCCT